CTCTACTCCGCAGCGTTCGCACAAGGGATCCTCAGCCACCCCCATCACGTGCAGGAGCCGCCTTAACGTGTTATGGCCAGACAACAGTCCCACCAGCAACCTTAGGTTGGCTCTACCCAGAGATAGGCAGAAGCGTCCATCCTTAGCACTGGGCCCTTCAATGAGCTCTCGTGCCTGGCGGAGATGTCTAGAGATACTTCTCCATTTCTGAGAGTGTTGTCTTGCAACCCACGTCTCCATTTTCCTCCTAGCTTTATGCGCGGTTACTCCTAGAGCTGGCTCAGGACCAACGAGCTTGCTGGCTGATCCTGTTTTCGCCAGAGTGTCCGCCGTCTCATTGCCCCTTATCCCAGCGTGCCCCGGTACCCATATTAACGATACCGGATGCCTCGCTGCGAGGCAATCCAGAGCCTCCCTGCATTGCAATACAAGAGTCGAGGTAATCTTACAGGCACTTAGTGATTTCATTGCAGCCTGGCTGTCGGATAAGATTGTTATTCTTCTCCTAGGCCCACCCTCCTCCAGAATGTGAGATACACAATCCAGAATCGCAAAGATTTCCGCCTGGAAAATGGTGGTGTACTCACCGAGAGGCAGAGATAGCCTAGTTCTAGGCCCGGAGACCCCAGCACCTGAGCCCTCTTCGGTGACCGAGCCGTCCGTGTACCAGACCTGCCCGCTCACTTCGGAGAGTCCTCGGCTACCGGCGTCCCACTCCTCCCTCGTTGGGTACTCCACAATAAACTTGCGTTTGAAGCGATATTTAGGGGTAATACGATCACCCCTGCTTAGAAGGACGGGGTCCTCCCTTTCTAATTCGACTAAGATGGCAGTATGCCCCTTGACCGGATTCAAGAAAGCCCAGCTGCCCTGACTCCACAGTCGATGAGCGACTACTCTCGCTTCACCGCGGATCACCAGATCCAATGGTGGGAGATCCAACAGAGCTTCCATTGCACTCAATGGCGTTGTTCGCACTGCGCTTGTAATGCTAATACAGGCCAAACGCTGAATTTTGTTGAGTTTGGCCTTAGTTGACTCAGTTCTAATGCAAGGCTACCAGACCAGGGAGCCGTACAAGAGAGATGGACGTACTATCGTCGTGTAGAGCCAGTATACCACTTTGGGTTTAAGCCCCCACCTTACACCGACAACACGTCTACAAGCCCACATCGAATTGCGAGCCTTGCTAACCTTGTGTTCCACATGCTCTCTCCAGTTCAGTTTGCGGTCCAGGATAATTCCCAGATATTTCACTGACTGGGACAAAACTAATCTAGTCCCAAAGAAGGTCGGCATGACCAATCCGTCAAGCCTTCTTCTCCTAGTGAATAGGATCAGCTCGGTCTTTTCAGCATTAACAGAAAGATCGACTTCCCTACACCACGATTCCACGGAGCGCAGAGCGCCCTGCATAATTTCCGAGACTGTTCTACAGAAACGCCCCCTAACCACTATGCTTACGTCATCAGCATAGGCTTGCGCGTAGACACCCATACTGCTGAGCCTAACGAGCAGTTCGTTCACCACGATACACCACAGTAGGGGTGACAGAACTCCGCCCTGAGGGCAGCCTCTAGCTACGTTCACGCTGCAGCTTACGTTATTCAGCATAGCTGTTGTTACCCGACCCTCCAGAGTAGAGAGGACCCAATCTATTAGGATTGATCCAACCCCGTGTCTAACCAAGGCCTGTCTGATAGAGTCGGTTGTGGTGCAATTAAATGCACCTTCAATATCCAAGAAGGCCACGAGTGCCACTTCTCGCTGATCTAGAGTCTTCTCCAGCCTCCCGACCAGATTGTGTAAGGCCAGATCAGTCGATTTTCCAGCTTGGTATGCAAACTGATTTGCATGAATGACACACCTTTCCAGTGGGCCATCCCTTAGGTATCTATCAACTATCCTTTCCAGGGTCTTAAGCACAAAAGATGAAAGAGTAATCGGTCGAAAATCCTTCGGGCCAGTATATCTATCTCTGCCCGGTTTAGGAATGAATACCACTTTAGCCTGCCGCCAGCTTCTAGGTGTGAAGCCCGTGGCCACACATGCTCGAAAGACATTCAACAGGTAAGGAACAACCGAAATCCGTCCCTGCTGTAACATGGCCGGAAATACGCCGTCCAGACCTGGACTTTTGTATGGGGCAAACGAATCTACTGCCCATACCGTCCTTTCGAAGGTGACAATCTCCCTTGCCGTGCGCCAGTCCTCCCTTGAGGGCCTGCGCAACTGCATGCACTCTGTGATTGATCGCGCTACTGTGGAACCGGGAAAGTGCGTATCCATCAGAAGCCTCAGAGTATCTTCCTCGGAAGTAGTGTTCCCCCGCGAGGGATCATGCAGAGATCCCAATCTTGCTTTAATGTCTTTGCATAGGACTCTGTGTATTCTTGCAGTAGCAGGAATGTCATTTATGGACTGACAGAAGTGCCTCCAGGATTCTCTGGAGACCCTTCTAATCTCCTTTTTATACTCCTGCAATGCCTTTTTGTATTCTTCCCATAGAGGAGAACCTCTCCTGTGCTTAACTCTGCTAAGAAGTTTGTGCACGGCTCGTTTTCTATCCTCTAACTCTTTGGTCCAGAAGGTTGCCTTGCCCTTACCTTGTACTTTGCGTAACGGGCAGTTTTCCTCATATGCAGCCCTGCTCAGAGACTCGACAGCTGCTTCTATGTCAGAGCCCCTGCCAAGCCTGTATGGGACCGCTCCAAGCTTACTGTCAATGTCTGCCCTAAAGGACCCCCATCTAGTATGCCTGGGATTCCGAGCATATTTATCCGGAATCTCTCCATCAGTCTTGAACAGTATATACCTGTGATCCGATAGAGAGGGTGTTAGAGACACTTTCCAGTCCCTGATGTCCTGAGCTAAGTTAAGCGTGCTCAGTGTTACGTCGATAACCTCCTCTCTTACACTATTGCTGAAAGTGGGCATGTTACCGACATTCAGAACCTCAAGGTTCGATGCCCCAAGAAACTCCATCAGGTCTTCGCCCCGTCTGTTGGTGTTCGAGCTGCCCCACGTAACATGATGGGCATTACTATCGCATCCAATCACAAGGTCGAGTCCAGAATCCCTACAGAATGCGACAAGGTCCCCCATTTCCTTAGTATGTGTATTACTCTGTGCCTATGTATTAATGTGTGAATTATATTCAGTAGAGAGATTCTCTTAGATGGTGCTATTGTTAAATAAGCCGGAGGGAGTAAAATAAATGTTTTTCTCAGTGTTTCAGCAATGTTCTCGGATTACTCTGATATAGATTTCCCGATTTAAACGAATCAAACGATTTTATTCATTTTATTGACTCTTTTCACTTGTTTTAGCAAAAAACTTAATACGCTCGATTCTTTTTTTACGAAGAAGCAAAAAATTGGCGAGGACGAATCAAAGGATTCAACAACTTCTACCGCTATCGTTCAGGCAGATAACGAACAACCCTCCACTTCTCAATTTTCAGCCAGAGATCAAGATAATATAAATCAGCATGACATTGCTCACTTTGTAGGACACAAGGTTAATATCGATATCATCAAAGTTATTACTGACCTTTGGAAGCCTATGCCAAACTTCAAATTTCCGGTGTCAAGCAAGAGGAATCTGAAGTTTCAGTATTGTTGGTTCCATCGTTGGAATTGGCTAGCATATTCTCAAAAAGAAGATGGTGCCTATTGCAAGTTTTGTGTTTTTTACGCAGAAACAGGTGGCGTTGGAAGCCAGTCTCTAGGTAAACTTGTGAGGGCACCTTTTAATAATTGGAAAGATGCAGTTGAAGCGTTTGATAAACACCAAGTCAAAGAGTACCACAAATTTAGTGTGGAGAAATTCAGCCATCAACAGCTAATTGTAGATCAAAAACAGCAATCTATCGATCTTCAGATTGATGTAGCATCAAAAAATAAAATTATAGAAAATAGAAAAAAATTAGTACCGATAGTAGATGCAATTATTCTTTGTGGGAGGCAGGGAATTCCTCTAAGGGGTCATGACGATTCCGGACCGATAGAATCTGCTGATATTCCTGTACACAACGACGGAAACTTTAGAGCTATTTTACGGACTAAGCTTAAGTCAGGAGATGAAATGTTGCAGCTACACTTACAAAATATGTCTAAGACTGCGACATATCTCAGTCCAACAATCCAAAATGAAATTCTTGCAATTTGTGGGAAAATTATCAGACATAAAATTATTTCTAGATTAAAACAGGCAAAATTTTTCTCAGTTCTTGTGGATGAATCTACTGACATATCAGGAATTGAACAGTCCTCTATATGTATACGATTTTGTAACACAGAGACCAGAAAAATTGAAGAACATTTTGTAGGATTTGTTCCCATAATCGATTTAACTGGTCAAGGACTCGCTAATACAATCCTACAAACATTAGAAGAATTTGATATTGACTGCTCATTTTTAGTTGGACAAGGATATGACGGCGCATCGGCAATGAGTGGGCATACACTTGGTGTGCAGGCATGTATCCGCAAAAAATATCCTTGTGCACTGTATGTGCATTGCTCTTCGCATTCGCTTAACCTTGCAATATCAGACTCATGTGACGTAGCGCATATAAGAAATTGCATGGGAACAATAAATAAAATTGCAGTATTTTTCAATACCCCTAAAAGGCTTAATGTATTTAAGTCGCATATTGATAAAGTGTCTACAGAATCGAAAAAAGAAAAGTTGAAAAAGATGTGTAGTACTAGATGGGTTGAGAGACATGATGCCATATTGACTTTCCTGGAGTTGCATGAAATTACTATCGCCGCTCTTTCCGAAATTCAACTATGGAGAGATAAAGATTCCTCCTCTGACGCATTTTCCTTTCTAAAATCCATCCAAACCTTAGAATTCCAATTTTCGCTTAGAATTATTTCAAAAATATTCGCCATTACCCTACCTCTCTCCAAACAACTGCAGACCACCAATTTGGATCTAGGGCAGGCCTTAGATTTGGCTGAAAGTGTTCAAAACTGGCTTTTATCTATCAGGGATAATGCCGAAGACGAGTTCAACCAAATTTTTAAAGATGTTGAAACCTCCTGTAAAGAAATGGATATAGAGATGGCTCTTCCTAGAACAAACTCTCGACAAACTCAAAGAAACAATGTTCCAGCTGAGGTACCTGAAGAATACTTTAGAAGAGCATATTTTATATCGTTTGTCGATTCTAGTATTAGCCACCTTAAAGAGAGGCTATTAAAGCACAAAAACATTGTACAAGGATTTCAAGTACTTCTACCAAATAAGCATTTTAATGAAGATGGCCTAGAGAAACTGTATGATTTTCATGAACACTTCTTGGAAGCTTGCAGCTTTGAAGCTGTACTCGGCGAAGTAAAACTATGGCGTCAGCTTTCAGAAGATCTGGAAAATCCCCCACAAGATGCTTTAAGCTACTTAACGTTCCTTTTCGAAAACGGCAAGTACGAATATTTTCCTAATGTTGCTGCTTTGTTACAAATATATGTCACAATACCAGTAACGACAGCGTCAAACGAACGCACCTTTTCGACGTTGCGACGATTAAAAACATACTTGAGAAATACACTGTGCCAGGATCGACTAAACGGATTGTCTTTGTTGAATATTCATCGAGAAGCTTCTGTTTCCGCGGAAGAAGTTATAGATGAATTTGCAAAGTCTACACGAAAACTTCTTTTGTTATAAAGTGACTGACGACAAAAAAATATATATATATTCGTTATTAGTTGTTGTTATTAGGATGTTACTTACTTTTATTTAAAACTGTGTTTTAATGCTGCCAATGATTTAACCAAAGAATATGTTTTCAGTTCAAATAAACATTATTTATTTATGTTATTTTGTTTCATTTGATATACTCGTATCTTAAAAAATCATAATTTACGAAATGGTGGGAGCGCCAGATTAGCGCATCTTGTCTCGGCCACTTCTCATAGCGGGTAAACCCCACCCAAAAGGAATTGCTGGCTACGCCACTGATAGTATGCCTATGAAATAAACAGGTGGAAAAATTTTAATCTTTTGATAAAAATTTTAAACATTAAGCAAAAAGTAAGGATGATTAAAGAATTAGAAATTTGAGTACCAAAAGCAATTAAAAATAGAAATGCTGCCAAAAATTGTAAAGAATTTTGAAAACTATGTTATGTCTGCCAATCTTCCACTAGCAACCCACTTGTCGACACAGCCAAACACCAATCGAAGCCTCACGTTGCGGGCCAATTTATGTAAACCTTTCTTTCCGCAAAAATTCCAGAAAAGATGGAATGCAATGAAGATTCCAACTCTTCTGCACAATCACAGAAAGGGGGTTACCATTAGCTTCCGGTAGCTCAGTCGGTGGCATGAAGACATCTACAGGCGTGTCGACCATGGCATGGCTAGAGGATAGAAGAACAAACAGAACACAAACATTTAACAGATTTTATTTAACTAGAAAAACATTTTCATTACATTACAATTTTAAAGAACAAAATAAAAGTTTTAAATCTTTGGCGCTGTTACAAAACTATACACTTATCTTTCGCTAAGCTGGTCCATTTTGACTGGACTGAAGCGAGGATGGCCAGGTGCTTCAAGTGGAGGTCCCAGTTATGAGGGGTGACCTCACATTTAGTGGCTTCAAAACTAGTTGTGGGCGAAGGATGCAGTGAAGTTGAGCTTAAAGGTGATGGCGCTGCCAAGGCACATGCATGGCTGAAGGCACGGCAAAGTGATAGGCAAGCAATGCAAAGTCAAAGACAAAGGAAGGCAAAGTCAAAGACAAAGGCAAAAGTCAAAGACAAAGGCAAAGGGAAAGGGGGTGGCCCCAATCATTTTATCCTATTTGGACACACATTTTACAAACTGCTAGCACATGGTGCTATATGACCTCATGCTACAGAGAACAAAATTCTTAGCTCTTGTTAGATCGGCGGCTCAAGTGAAAAGGAAGCGCGAGGAAGATCACAGATCAGGAACTCCGCATCAAGCGCGCTCCAAGCGGAAATGTTTCCAAGTAAAAAAGCTAGAGATGGGATTAATGAGTTGCGATTCTGAAATGAAAATCGAGAAGTGATTTAATAAATACAATCGGATGGTGAAACCGTTACAGAACAAAGACACAAACGCAAGAATCTTGAAAAAAAAGCTGATATAAAAATAACTAACAATTTGGATAGCGATTTCAAAGAAAATGAATAGTTTTATGGCGAATTTTGTCAAAAACCTGACATGAACGACATTGATTTGGAGGTTGCCAAGCAAGAATTTTTAGGGAAACTTAAAAAAAGTGACGACGAGATTTTGCAGATCGAACAAGTCACCAAATCACAGGACTGTACTTTGTGGCGCCTTCATCGGAGGATAAGGTTGACAGCGTCTCGATTTGGTGAAGTTTGTATAAGAAGGCAGACAACAAGCTCTAAAGTTCTAGTAAACTCCATCATATACCCAACAGAATTTTCTAGTAAAGCAATAAAAAAGGCAATACAAAAATCATTGGACACCGCAGTTCAATCTTGTGGTTTGTTTATTGATCGCACACATCCATTTCTGGGAGCATCGCCTCCATCTACCTATTACAGTAGACAAGAAATGTACTTAATCCAGGTATAAGCCGTCTTGTTTATTGCTTTGCAAAAACTACCTAACTGTTTCCTCTTATTTTGACGGCATAAGATATTTTTATGACCCTCGTTCAATTGTTACCATGTACCACATGACCGTTGTAAACATAATTTTGTTTATTGACGTGAATAAACGAATTTGAATTTGAGGTCTTGAATTTATTTTACTAGATATCAAATTATTTGAATACATTTTTTAACTTAGTCGGAACGCACCGTCGCGTCGCTTGGACTGGCAGGACGAAACAGTAGACGAATTTCGCCCAAAAACCGATTTGCACTTCACAGCTTACGTTTCATTTTTTATTATTTCCAAATGAAACTCTTGCAGCGTGCTAACAACAAAGTCCACAGGGTGCTAACGATCCACTTTTTCGATATTATCCACTAGGATCTTTTTAAAATATCAAGAAGTTGAGCACAAATAGTAAGCATTTCAACACTCCATAATTCTTGCACAAAGACAAAATTTTGTAAAAAGCTCTGATAGCACCTTAGGCAATTATGTCCTGCTTATATCCAGAAAAACATCACAAACTGCAGAACACAAATTGAAGGTAACGACGAAATGGGTGCATTTCACGGGTCATGAAATTCAAATGAAAATGCAGGTATAAAATCTACCAAATTATCGTTCTCAAAAAAATATTTCCTTGACATATCGATAATTTTAAAGTTCCACGCTAAATTCCCCTATACTTGACTGGAGTGATATCCGAATTCATTCTTCCCTACTGTCGGCAGTTGCAGAGAGATCTGTTGGCTCTTGGTGTCAATCCTATAGAGCAGGTACCGATTTTTACAAATCGTGAGCACATTATTCGTCGAATTTTCGTTACTCAAATTTCCTGTAATCTCTGGGACCAGAAGCTTCTTAATAATAGAATGTGTTTCACTGATATCAAAGGTGCAACATTTAAAATCACATTCCCCAACCCCCACTTTTTAAGCACAACAATCATAAGGAACCCCTGTAACGTCAAAAACGGAGTTTCAACAGTTGTTACTTTTTCTTTTTTGCTTATAGCCTTTAGCCTTGCTATTGGACTAAAACTACAAAGCTTTGGCATATAGTAACCCCGTGAGGAAATTTCATACAAATCCGAGCGGTAATTTCCAAGTTGATGATGAATGATATAGTTTGTCGTGATGTAATGTCATATGTATTAAAAAACATTAACATCTCATTTTAGAAATTTTTCGCGATTACAATACTTCCTCGCCACTGGTGTGGAAAGTAAAACGGCTTTAAAATCGAGGAGTATCAGCGATCGCGATTATGAGTACCTATTTGCAGAACGACTTATCTATGCGATATTATATGAAATAGGGCCACCAAATTATCTGAGTCCGTACATTGCGCCGCCACGCTTGGGTTGGCAGCACGAAACATTAGACAAACTTCGTCCAAAATACGATTTGTAGAGGTTTGCGCGCTTTGAAATTGACGCTTTATTTTTTGATATTTTTGAATGAAATTTTCATAGTGTGTTGAAAACAAAACCCCACAGGGTGCTATAGAGCCAATTTTTCATTTTTTTTTTTACTATATTTTTTTTTAATCGCGAAGTTGAGCAGAAAAAGTGCGCACTTCAACCCATATGAAACTTGTGCAAAAACAAAATTTCAAAAAGTGCTCCTATAGCACCCTGGGGAATTATCTTCTGAACATACTGTATGAATTTCATTCAAAAATATTGAAAAACGGAGTGTCAGTTTCGAAGCAGCTGAACCCTTGTAAATGGCTTGAAACTTACTGCGTCGGAGCCGCCTTAATACCATAGACAGAATAGATTTTCCTAGTACAATGATGAGCAACTAACACCCTTGCCTCTCGTTTAACATGGCGGGTGGCAGTAGTATATTGAATTTCACATCGAAATCAAATATTGCGAGCAGTGTATAAGTCTATATAAATCATTAGCGCTTTATTGAAAATTTGCTCAAAGATTTGCCGGCTCTCAGATAGACGCAGAGAAATTGAGGGAGTATGCATCAAGAATAGCAAGACTTTTTGAGAGGTTTTATTGAGACCATATGCCTTGCTATGTCTACCTTATTTTCATGCATCTTGAAGATATCATTGACAGCCTAGACATATATTATAGTCTAGATCTGAGGAGGTTTTAAAAGCTAGAAATAAGAAAATCAGGGACCCGATTCCACTCGGCGGCGACTGCTGAGTCGCCAGAACAATGTCGTCATCAAATTTCAATGTTGATACTTTTACTGAGGTGTTTGTTTATCACTGTTGGTAGCTAATAGATTTTGCTCAGCTTGATGTTGGTATTCACGAAAGCGGCCATTGTGACTTAGTTATCAGCATAAAACATATGCACTGATTATATTATGTGCACAGTTTTCCATTGGCAGAGCAATAGAATGAATATCGATGGTCTACAAAAAACATCGTTTGGTGAAGGAGAAGAAGGCAAATATGCAGTGATTAAGGTAAGATGAATAATTGGAATGAGCCAGATTGAGTAGTTTGATCACATTTTCTGTAATAAAATTTTGGACGCATTTTTCATGGTGCAGCTATACCATTCATAGTAATTTCACAGTGTAGTGCCAGAATAACCATTATTACAGAAACTGTATGTCACGACTTCAACCGTAAACATAGACATTGTAGAAAATTGCGTCCATATTGAAGCGTTGCCAGTCTTATTCTATCATTATACAAATACATGTATGTATACAATTATAAATAGTTCATTGAGTGGATAGAGGTCTGAAAATATTTGAAGCTGAGGTATCGACAGAGGTGGTCCGAAAGGAGGTGGGCTGATAAGAGCCATTTTTCGCCCATCAGCGAATAGATATGACATATATTTATGAAGAGTATACTCCATAACAAAGAAGAAAACATACTTATTTCAAATGTAAACTGAAATTCGTGGTATACATAAATTAAATAATTATCCGAGTGTTATACACCTTAGGAAAAACCATTGTTATACATGGGAAATCATTTCTTGGCAACAGCGCATCGGCTCGTCTACTTTCATCGCTATTCGTACATATTTCCTACCGTTAAGCCGGGTTTACACGGGTCAAGTAAATGGTCAAGTTGAGCAGTAAAGTCAAGTATTTTTTTCTACTTGCATCGTCTAAACAACTTCGGTCAAGTAAAGTAGTGACTTGCGTCAAGTGACGAGGCAAGTCAAGTGGTTCTGCACGGTGAACAAGTAACTTCACTTGACTGCTACCCCCACTTCACTGGATCGCCAACTTGACCGTCTACTTTACCAATGTAAACAGAAAAAGCAAGAGTAAATAAGATTTTGCGCATGGATTGTGGATTTGTACTCTGTGTTCTTTCAGACTTTTTACCCATTTTGATCATAGATAAGCAAATAATTTTGGTGACTTTGGTATATTGCAAATTGTGAACTAAGGTTGAATTTGTACAAGATGAACTGGTCAGAAGAAGAAATCATGCATTTTGTTAAACTCTATAGTGAAAAAGAGTGTTTATGGAAGAAGAGTAGTGTAAACTATCGCAATAAAAACATGCGATAAGCAGCTGAACATGATAGAAAATGAAGGTTTTGGGGTGGCAGAATTAAAGCAAAAATTAAAGATAATGATCAGAAAGCACTGAAAGTTAAAAAATCTAAGAAATGAGGAGGTAAACCGGATGATATATACGTTCCAACCGTCAAGTGGTTCCGACAAATGGAAGAAATAATGGATAGCTACACAGCTGAAAATGAAACGAAAAGCATAGTAAGTCAAAAGTGTTTTTTTTGTTTTTAATAACTGGTAACTAATTTATAAAATTTCGTTGCCAAGGCACTGCTCCTGCTTCAGAAATAAAATAATCCCTCATTTTGTTTCGCTATCTCCGACGTCCTCCTCTCAGGTACCCCCTGTAAGTTTCTCAGTTCTCGTATCTGATTTCTCCACTGTCCAGGTATTATTTCGCCAGTGTGTTGGTTTTCACAATCAACCAATGGTGCATTATTGAAGAATTGTTCTGGTGACGTTTTTCGTAGCCAGTTGTGAATTACAGTTGTAGCACTAACCAGTTTATTCACAGACGAAACTTTTATCTTTACTTTTGTTTCAAAAACACGAAATTTACTTTCTAAGATTCCAAAATCATTTTCCTCTATTCTTCTGGCACTGCTAAGCCGATAATTGAAAATATTTTCTTCATCGGTAAGAGGTAGTCGGTATCTACTATATGGTTTAAATAGCTAGGGTTTTAGTGTAAAAGCATCATCACCAACAAAAAAGCAACCATCGGGTAGTAATCCTTCTTCTAGAGCTTCTGAAAATTCGTTGTTTTGAAACATACCACCATCTGAGTTAGACCTCTTTGTCCCTTCTTCAAAATAGGTAAAACAGTAATTGTGACCTACAATTGCCATTAGTACCACGCTGAAGGAGCCTTTATAGTTGAAGTATTCACTTCCAGTATGTGGCGGAGCCTCGATCAAGACATGTTTGCCATCAATGGCACCACAACAGAAAGGAATATTCCATCTTGCTTCAAACCCTTTCGCAACTTTTTTCCATGCATCATGTGTATCAAGAACCTGAAAAAACAAACAAAAAATAAAAATTAATCATGAAGCAAATGAGAAATATTAAATTAGTATTTCATTCATTTTAGGAAACACAAATCGCTCCACCTAGCGAAAATATAAAGGTCTGCTAGAGGAACAAGTCATTGAAGAACCGTCTCCAAATCTAACTGGTAAAACAGGTTCTCGAGTAGAAGCAGGATTAAAAAATAAAAAAGCATGGATAGAAGCACTAGCCGCAGCTGTTGCAGAGATCCGAAAAGTCCAGGAAACAATAACTTCTAATTCCATCAGTGACCATGAAGCCTTTGACAAGTTCATTGCAGCCAGTTTAAATAAACTGCCCGCTGTTGATTCAATCATGGCGCAAGGTGAAATTCAAAGAGTAATACAAAAATATCGATTGAATGCGTTAAATATGAGCAGTTCTGCTTCTGAGGCTTCCGCATTAACTGCAATTCAATCACCAACCCTTTCTTGGGATTCACCTCCTGCAACTACTCCTGCATACAGCACTAATTACCCGGTCATGAACGAGGACACAGTTGCAAATGATGATGCTGGTATCGGAGATATTATCTCGCAAGCATGGAACTTGACAAACTAAATGTTACAATTGAATTTGTTTGTTTTTTATTAAGAAGCCTAAATAAAATTTTAAAAATGTTCTATTATTATCTATTCACATACCTTTACGAAATCCTTTAAGCAGTCATACACAGTTTCACAAACGATGGGAATCATGATAGATATCGCTGATTTAGAAACTCGGAAGAGATGAGAAAGGGTTCTGTAATTATTACCTGTTGCTATTTAATTCAAGGTTACTTCCAACATTGTTTCTGGTTTGATAGCGTCTCTCATAATAGTGTCCTCTCGTTGGATTAATGGAGTTATTAAGCCTAACAAATAGTCAATTTTTTCAGTAGTCATTCTGAGCATCATTCTGTATTCTTTAGGATCTTCAAATCTCAGCTCCCTTATTAATTTGGTGGAAGCTCCTTGACTTTCTCTGCGTGTAAGCCATTCTAGACACCATATCCTTTTTTCAGGATTTCTCTCTTCCTCCAAAACTTCTTCCAGTTCTTCCAGGAGAATATTTGTTAGATTAATAACTCAGTTTCGTATGACAATACGACTTTGGACCATGTCGACTTGCACATCTACTGGACTACGTGGAAACGCGCCTTTTGGATCAAGTTGTGAACCAAGTAAAGTAGAATGCAACCACGCAAGTGCGAAGGCAAGTAACTTGACCGTATACTTGACCCGTGTAAACCCGGCTTTAACGCGCGTGCCGTCGTCAAGTGCGATAAGGGATTCATGACTCACTCTGCGGTTGGGTTTTGTGTAGGAAAGGTGCGTCTTTATTTTATCCAAAATATCTTAAAAATGTACTCGCAAGAAGAAAAGTTTCAAATGATAGAATGGTACATCCAGAATAATTCAGCACGCGCGGTTGCTGAATTATTTGCGGTACGCTTCCCAGATCGGCCAATTCCGTCTCACGCAACGGTTATAAATACCTACGAAAAATTCAAGAGGGTGGGCTGCTTACATAAGTGCCATAGCTGCATGCACCCTGAAGGTTGGAAACCAAAAATTAGCGAGAAAAGGGAGGAGATCGAAACTGCTGTTTGTGCCGCTGCAGAAGTATCTGAGCCATGCTCAAGCAGAAAAATTGCTGAAATGGTACCAATAGCCGATCTCACACCCAGAACAACAAGAAATATTTTGCATCGCAACGGCTATCATAGCTTCAAGGTTGGAACGGTTCAAAAAATATTTCCTTTAGACAAATACCGTCGAATGGAGTTTTGTGAAACGGTCATGGAGAAGGCGAACAGGGACGGAAGTTTTATTGGTAACATTTTGTTTACTGATGAATCCACATTCCCTCTCCACGGTCATCACAATCCTTCAGTCGTTCGGTATTGGTCTCGGGAAAATAAACACCTCAGTATTCCCGTCCGCACGCAGTATCCACAGAAACTGAATGTGTGGGCAGGAATTCTAGGTAATAACATTATCGGACCGTTCTTTATTGATGGAACTCTTACGGCTGCAAAATATTTGGCGTTACTACAGACGCAGATTGTTCCTGCAATTAGGCAGCTTGGCATTGATCTCGCTAATATTTGGTTCCAACAAGATGGATGCCCGGCGCATAATGCGGCGATCGTGCACACTTACCTTGAAAGTGTGTTCGGCCACCGGATTATTGGCGGTAACGGAACAATAAAATGGCCTCCTAGATCACCCGATCTAGCGCCCAATGATTTTTTCTTGTGGGGTTATGTGAAAAGTACTGTTTACACTTTCAATGAGAGAGCAGACAATTTGCATAACCTACAGGTGAAAATCGTTGAAGCGCTCGGGCAAATACAGCCTTCTACCCTCTTGAGAGTTCGTCAGGAGTTTTATAACCGCCTGACATACTGTTCATTGAATGAAGGAGACGTTTTTGAGCCCCAGCTGTGAAGGACCATTTGAAACAATTGTGTTCATTATTGCGTTTTATTTTTGAGAACTTATTTTTTTTGTTAGAATATCTTTTTATTTTCGTTACACATTTTTAAGAGTGTACTACTTTTTGCTAGAGTGGGTATCTTCTTATTTTTGTTATGAGATGCAACCTTTATTGCTACAAAACCAATTATCCATTCATAAAAATAAGTAGAGTGATTTAGGTGATTTCGTGAAATCTCGAAATCACCGAAATCGGTTCACAGGACGTCCAATCGAACTGGTGCGTAATGCGCGCATCTACTGTACTTCTTCTGTCGACTCAACCCATACTGAAATTTGCAGCAGACCGCAGACCTGTATCACGAATGAGAATAATAGGCAGATACGCTGTGTTGCCAATTTGAGTAGAGCTTCCCGAATTGTGGGGAATTTAGAGTTAAGTGTTGATTCATTCAAGCTTTTAATCAGCATGGCCTAGACGTTAGAACTTCATAAAGATAACATTGAAGCTGAATGCTGCTGGAGTATAGTGTTTCGAATATTCAAAGCGGAGCGGGACGCTATACTCGTTCAATGGGTCATCAAGCCACAGTCTTTTCAACAAAGAAATTATTTTACGAAAATGCGTTATATTTTTACGATTTTGTCGTCACCAAATCTCTGTTTCTCAAAATGTACGTCTATTGTAGAATTTTCAGCAAACTAAGCAAGAAACGTGATCTAGTATTTACTCAACATTACGGATTTCTCGAAATACATTAAAAAGTGTGACCTAGATACCTAACTGCCCCAAGCTCTTAAAATATAACACCTTAAACCAGGGTTACCAGGTGCTCAGTCACGTTGATTGTCATGTTGTACTGCGCAAGTCAGCAAACAATCTGGCGTAATAAACGTTAGGAATCATCAGGTATTGCCAGATTCCCGAATACCGGGCACCATAGTACCCGTTATATTTGTCCTTCAAAGTTGTCAAATCGCCCCTATGGCGCAAATTCGCCACACCAGGCAACTGTGCTATAAACAAACCCTGTTTATCACTACTATTTGATAGTCATATGGTAGTTGTAGCCCTATCTAGCGGTCCATGATTTCTCTCAATACTGTTGTATCTCTACTGGCAACAAGAATAGGGATTACAAAACCATTTATACAACAATATACAAACATGAAAAATATGATTTGAACCATGAAACATTAATACAATTTTAATAGTTTGAACTTTTTTCATTTTTGGAATACTCTTATGTGGAATCCGCAGCTATTTTTCCCGAAATTTGGGTAGACTTAGATTTCTTAGAAATATGACATATTGGTATCGGCAACTCTGCGAATGGGAGAAACAAATCGCATTTGTTGAGCGCATCCGTCTAAGCGGCAGGCGCCAGCGCCCGTTCTGCCATCTCTCTTTTATCACTCTTCTACTTTACCCCGTTGTCCGTCACACTCCGACGCTGCCAGATAGGATCCTACAATCGAGTGTCTTTCACGCACCTACATACTTTTGTATATTTCCATCTCTCTTCCTCATCATAATGTATAATAATGGTTTTTCCGAAGGTGTATATGTTCATTAAACAATACTGAAAGATAATCAGTTTTCATACACTTAATATGTTTTTTACTAATCTTCTTCCTTGGAATCACTTTCAGACCATCCTTCAGTATCATCAGAGGGACTTGTTGAAGTAAAAACTCTTGTTGTCCTTACAGAAGATGAAGTGGGAGTCTTTTGAGATTGAGCCACGCGGAATGCATATGATCTGCATTTAGGACACAACTTAGAACCAACTTGCAGATCACAGTTTTTAGATTTTCTAAGTATTGCTATAATGTTTTTGTTCAAGCAGCTACGGAAATCACTGTTTAACGCCACCTTTTTACAACAATCACACTGGCATCCAGGCATTATTGTTTTATCAAGTTTTTCAATAAAAGTTGAACGCGGCAGCACAGCAAAGTTTATATACCTTTACTACGTAAATACTTTTCGAACGCGAAAAATCATGTCTGAACACGCAGCTTATAATAAGTAGACTCACTGAGCATTAAAGTTAATGTGGTTCACGGAATGCTTCGCAGGGAAAACATGATTCAAAGATCGAAAAACAACAAAAATGCACAAAAAGCGCTAAATACTCTATTTCTTGGCAATAATTTCTGAAGCATATTACATTCTTTATACCATGAATATTATATAATGAAAAAATAAACGTCTTGAAGTTCACAAATTCGATAGTAGTCTGGAATCGAACTTTTTATTTTTGAGTGTGTTATGGGAGAAATGGCCCTTATCAACCCAACTCCATTTAAATTTGCTTGGATCAATAAATAAAAAATGCTGCCCTTCATATAGAAAAATTCCATTCCGTACAACCACATTGCGACATCGGTATTCATGAATCAGTTGTGTACCATTTGAAGTGCGATAATGAAATTTGCGGATAAAGATTCGCAAAATACATAGCGCAGGAGCTTCACGACACAATACTTTTAAATAATTGGCATGTCATATAAAAGGCAGGTATGCTAGTTTGTTACTGCAGTTTAATATGTATGCATTTATGGACTTACTGGCGTATTCAGGGTGTAGGGGCCTTTGGGCATGAGTTCCTCCCAAAACCCTATGGCCTATTACGATTTTTCTTATATAATAGCTAAGCCTTTTGTGAAATGGAAGCCACCCCACTCTTTGGTTGCTACAATGCTATTCGCTCTTAGAAGCACTGGTGCAGCCCTCACCCCTCTGCTGTACATTTGTAATAACGGAGTAGGAGGGACTAGGGGTACTGATGCAGACAACTCTCTGCTCCAGAATTATTGATACCATCCCCGCTCTTCAAATCTCATAAGGATATTTGATCTCAGAAGCACAAAAGCAGGAGTCGACGCAGTCCCCCTTCCCCGGTTCTTCAATTTACAGCCGATACAAAGTCTGGTTTCGCTCTGTTTCTGGATACGCTATGCGCTTCCAAAATAACATACATACGTACTCAACAATGTCCGCCAAGAAGCAAAAAACAGCGTTATGCCAATGCCAAGTAATCTACAGACATTGTACCATTCAGTTTAGTTTTGCTTATAAATCCCAAAATCCGTAGTTCAACTCATCATATTTTCTATGCAATGACGTCATAGCCTGGCGACTGCTAGAAAATAATAAATTGTGGCTACTGTTTAAATAATGTGGTGGAAATTATCATGGCGAATTCGAAACACACCTTATACTGAGAATTGCTGTTCAGAATATTTCCTACTTAATTGTGGAATCTTATGAGGTTATGTATTTTGACATTGTCGGCATGCAAGACTTAACGTAACTTAAGAAAATGAGCTTTTAAAGCGCTTGCGCGGATAATAGTCCAGATAATATCGGAACATCTGCTCGGAAAAATGTTCCGATTCCGATTTTTGCATAATCTGATTCAAGGTCCCCTGTTAAAGAATCTGCATGTGACTAGGCCCAAAATTGCTCCAAAAATTGATCTGTTCGATTTGTTTAAAGTATTTTGCGGTTTTTAGGGCATTCTGAATACAAAATGAGCTTTAGAACATTTCTCTGGACTTGATATATATAAGCAATGTTCAAGCAAGTTCAAAATATGCCATTTGCTACCCCAAAAACAATATGAAAAATCTCACACATGCTTCAACCAACCAATAACAAAACCCCAGACCATTTTAGGGAGTACAGTTAGTTATTTTAAATATTTGCATAGTAATTGTGAATTGAATGCGCGCTCAATCTATAGTCTATAGAGATTTTTTTGAGAGATCCCGTAGTGAAGCGGAGCGGGAACAGATGGAATTTCCCCTTCCTCTCCAAGTTTTGACAGTTTCAAGTTACACCGGGAGTGGATAGATGGCGCAAGTTGCGCAAAATGTTTGCTTTAAGCTCCTTGATAAACTTAGCTGCATTGTTTGAATCCGAAATAAAAAGACCGATCGTTTTTTGTGCAATGTACATATATATCAATAAAATCAATCCTTTGATATGACAAGTGCGGTTCATACATCTTCGATGACCTTCTCCCTCATCATTTATAACAGGCGGACGTGTTCCTCCATTTATGGTTTAGTAATTTAACTCAATTTTCGGCACTGCGAAGACAACTTTTCAATTGAGATGCCTGTTTTTTAAATGAAATTGACATAAGACCTGTCACCCGCTAGTACCTCACAGACGTTAGGCGGGTACCCGTACCACGTGATTTTTTGACAGTCGGACGACGTCACATCCGCCTTCCCCTATTCCCGTTCTTCGCGAAAATTTGAGTATCGGTTCCCGGTAGTGCACTGTGCTACACCGTGGACTCGTGAAAAAATCCTTTATGTCTATGTGAACACGAGAGGCAGATGAAATATCTCTCGTGCATGAATATACATTGAGCATGCGCTTGCTATCAATTAAATACAAAGGTTTATAATAACAGTATCTCCTAAAAGGTATCACAATTGTGTTAATGGTTATTTATGAAGCATGGCGACATTAACATTTCCGTTTTTTCAGATCGTTTTTCGGTATCGAAAAAGCAATTTTTTGTACTTTCCCATCTCGTACAAAATCAACTATAGACAAACATTGTCAAACATCGTTTTGTTTCAGAGTATCAAAAAAAACTATTACTACCTTTAATGAAGCGAAAACATTAATTTTTGGAATTTATTTGAAAAAGTTGTGCAAACAATTAGAGACGCAATTTGGGGACTAACAACATGTAGAGGACAAGGAGGCTTTTGCGAATAACATGCAAAAAATCTGATTCCGAATATTTTCCCGAGCAGATGTGAAGATATTTCTTGGACTATAACCTCGACGGCAGCGCCACCTTTCTTAATCTGGTGGAACTATAAATATTGAAAGTATGCCGACAACGCTTAACAGGAATGTCACGAATGTGCCGGCGATTTCATTTGTTTACATTACGAAATCTGACTGATGACCTTCCCGACACTGGCGCTCCCACAGGGGGGGGGGGGTAAAGGGGGTAATTACCCGAGCATTCTTTGAAAAGGTGGTATAAAGTAACGTCTTATAAAAAAATCTGTAACTTTAAGAAAGGATAGCGGCAACACTGCCAACCCGCTCAGTGCGCATGAGACTAGCGACTAGCGACTACTCTCCCACCAACAGCAACCGTAAGCGCTTCTTCCTGTTGGAACAGGTATAGTCTATAGTGTATTTACATCCAAGATAGAATGTATGCGTGATTGCCAAAAGCAAGGACGGCGTACAGGGCCGCATCCAGGGCTAAATCCGAATGATGGACTACCACCAACATGTTGTGAAACAAAGATGACAGTATTTAACAGAAACAGAAACTTAACAAATTACTCAAATACACTTAACAACAACAACAGCAACAACCAAGCAAGGTGAATACGAAAACACGAGCACGCAGTGATACACGCGACGGACGGTGGCCTGAGTGCAACTCTGCCTGCCCTGCTCCTTCCCCGCGCATTATTCCGCCAGGCGGCCGCTTGAAATTTAAGGGCGAATTGACCAATAAGAGGCGTTGTCCCCACCTGTTACCGAAAGATCACGCGCTAACTGTTATTATTTACATCTCATCTTGAATTTGGATTCAGTTTAGTCTTGTATGGTCTAGGGGGCCGTTCAAGTATTACGTAAGCAGACTACAATTATTTACACCCCCATCCCCCCATGCTTACGTAAACATTTGTCAATTAATGTATTGTTTTTTTTAATATTATAATTATAACGTTAAAATTATAATTTGAAAAATAAGAAAATATATTTAGGATAGAGATTATATTTTACTGATACGGTATTCAACATAAAGGACAAACATATTTATATCTTACTGACATAACAAACTTATTTTAAATTTTTGGTACATATATTAAATTCAAATTAACAGTATTCAGTCCATGAAACCCGAATCCATGATTCTAAGTTTTCGATGACATTGGATTGCTTCGATTGCTGCTCATTGTTGTGAGTTTGCTCGCTTTCATCGGATTTTGGAATGTCTACGTCGTTTTCATCGAGCCATTCAACATCATGGTGCTCTAAATTTTGAACAATGCACATCAGTTCATTAGCACGACGAGCAGCGACTCTTACAGGGCTAACTTTCCTATCAGTGTGCGTGTTTACTTTTTTATGGATATTTTCGAAGTGACGATTTAGTGACTTGACGGATGCATGATAAAGACCACACGTATTGCATGTTCGACTTGATAGCCTCAATTTTACCGTCGGACAAAAATAATCGAAGAGCATTTGCAGGAAATCTTTGAGACCCAAAATGGTCATGAGGCAATATTAAACCAGTTCCCGACTAAGAGGAGCCATTCTGCGCTCTACTCTGTTATACGCACTTCTTCCAGGAACATTGGTAGCTAAAAACAATGCATCGATATCATGTCGCTTAAAGTGTTGTATAGCAAACCCTATGACTTTTTGATAACGTGGATTTTCAACTGGCCCTCCATCAACCGTCATGATTACCACAGGTTTTACTAGTCCACGGTTAGTTTTAGCTAATGGTCTAAACCACTACCCCAAACTTTTTTGTGTCGTAGACCCGTTGCCATGTTTTTCCGTGTAAAAACACATGTTAATTTATACATTTATTAATTGAATTTAAATTAAAACTACTCAAAATAAAATTTTGTATCTCTTATGTAAAATATACGTAACATTAAATAAACAGGTGTCTGACCAATAAGTGCCCGCATTGGGAATAAGTGCCCGTATTGAAAAAAAAGAGGGATAAAATAAAAAAAAAGTTAAAAATGATAAAAAAAGTTTTTTATTTAAAATAGTACAATAAGCGAGTTCGTTTAATAATTATAACATAAACGTATGTTCTACAATAATTTCACTGTTAGTTTGATTAAATTCCGCTTCTTATACGTTTAAGTTATCTAAAAATGGGCAAAAAATTAACGAATTTTAGTGTGTACCTATCCTTGAATTTTCAGAATAATTTAAAAAAACTTATTCCCAATGCGGGCAATTATTAGTCAGACACCAATAAACAATAAATAAAATAACATAAGCAATAAGTCAATATTTTTAGTGAGAAGGATGAACCTGATGCTTTAATAATAAATTATCAACATTTGGCGTCAATTTTGTAAGGGTTAATCTTAAATCTCCTCGGCTAATGATGTCCAGTCTGTTTGTTTTTTTCGTTAGGAGATTGGTAACAGCGCTGAACCCCTTTTCCACTAGGTATGACGATGGAAAGGAAATTAAGAATTTCCTCGCTATATTCCATAATACGGGATAAGTAACGGGTATGTTGTTTTGCAGCCAGAATTGTTAATATCCGTTTTTAAACTGAACCTTAAGTTCTTCGTTTGTACTTAGTTCAGTCAGTTCCTCTTGTATTATGACATTCGTTTCTTCTATGTCACCATATGGATTAATTATCCACGGTGGTATTACCATAGTCAAAATATCCTCAAACCTAGATTCAAAATCTTTTAAAATTTTATCTTTAGTATCCAGAAATTCTAAAATAGTCTCAAAAAGTGCAAAAAATCTTGTCAAACATAAGCATTTCGACAGCCAGCGTACTTCAGTGTGAAGGAGTAATTGATGAAAGTGTCATTTTCTTCATACAACTGCGCAAATAACCGCGTATTCAACGCGTTGCTTCGGATTCGGTTTACTGCATCAATGACTAAATGAAGTGATTCATGCAATCTAACACTCAAATTTTTAGCAACTAAATGTTGTTGATGGATGACGCAATGTATTGCTAACACCCCTGACACATTTTGTTTTAAATAGCTTATAAATCCACGATAACGTCCAACCATGGCAGGTGCTCCATCTGTATCTACTTGTATCTACTGATATTATATTCGATAACGGAATTGCTTTTTCAATGAAGTAATCCTTCAAAACATGAAATATTGATTCACCTTTAGTGTCGGTTATCAAAGTTTTTGCGAAGAGCAGTTCTTCGTAGATTTCTTGATTCATAATAAAACGAACATATGCCAATAATAATGCTGCATTATCAGGTAAAGTTGACTCGTCCACTTGTATAGAGAAATGGGTCGTTTGCAAATAATTACATAAGAAGCTTTCAATATCAGAACTCATTTCATCAATACGTCTTTCAACAGTATTGTTGCTTAAGGGAATTCTTTTAATGATATCAGATGCAGGTTTGTGTAAAACAGTTTTTAAAACCTCTTCAACGGCTGGCAAAATTAAGTTCTCTCCGATAGTATGCGGTTTTCCGGATTTTGCTATAAATAACGAGATATTGTAAGACCCCCGCAAACCATCATCATTTCTTTGTGACGTCGAAGCGAACATTCGGTCCAGTGTAGGTCTCTTCTGAAATTTATCTTTGAGTGTTTGAAAGTATTTCAAATCTTTCTCTGTTTTATCAGGGTGGCATCTTCTCAGATGATCTTGCAGTTTAGATGGTTTCATAGCGTCATTGCCCAAAACTTTGTTGCATAAAAGGCACATAGGCGATTGTTTGTCCGGCAATGATGGAATGAAGCCAAA